GCTATAGTGGCGAGATGAGTTCTGAAAGTGGGGGTAAAGACCCCAAGCATAATACTAAGAAGAGAAAAGTAGATGAAGTACAAGATGATGAGTCTATACATGCACCATACTACAAGAAGAACCATATACGTTGTTATCCTGATAATTCTCCAGGTTGTATATTTCCTGTATACATACAAAGCACAAATGACACTGTAAAGTTTGGAAACAAGGACCCTATCTACCTAAATAGCATTTTTAGTCGGTACAACAAGGGAGTCAAAGAAATAAAACGAGTGAATGCAATGCGGTATGCTGTTATTTTTGATAATGCAAAGAATGCTAATGCGTTACTGTTTAACTCAACATTCTTGTCTTCTCATGACATCAAAGCCTTCATCCCTGCGGCAACATCAGAATGCATAGGAGTTATACGATACATTCCCACAGATCTTAGCTGCAAACATCTATTTGACAAACTTCTCAGTTCACAGGAGATCCTGGCAGTCAGAAGGTTCACGAAGCGCACTCCTGAAGGTATCATCCCATTGCAAACTGTATCTCTGACCTTTGCAGGTAATGTACTCCCCGAGCATGTTAACTATGGTCTAAGCATTGTACCTGTAACTGAATACATTAAGCCTGTAATGCAGTGTTATAAATGTATGGCATTTGGTCATACTACTAAATTTTGTAAAAGGAACATCGTATGCTCCATATGTTCACAACCTCACTCATACAAAGAATGTACTAACGCAAACAAACCTCTATGTGTCAATTGTAAAGGCGAGCATATTGCTGTGGCAAGGATTTGTCCAGTTAAACAACAGAAAATTGAAGAAAACAAATATAAAATAATGAACAAAACTACTTTGGGTTCTTTCTTCCCAACTTTAAACAAATCTTTTGCCAAAGCAGTAGGTTCCCGACCTCAACAACAAAATGTTAAAGACACAAAAGAGATTAAAAATAAAAACTTGTTGACTGATGTTATCAATAATGATCTAATTATTAAAGCTATTGTTGATACTTTATTAACTTTTTGTGACAAAGAAAACAGCTTGCCAATTAATTCCTCTAATATTAAAGAAATGTTTTTAAAGAAAGTTTCTCAAAATGGATAGTAAATCTTTAGTTATTGTTCAACACAATATTCAGAGTCTTAAGCCTAAGACTCCCTTCGTAAGTGAGCTTTTAATTACACTCAATATTGATATTTTAATTCTCAATGAAACTTGGTTAAAATCATCAGATTCAGTAAAATTTAGAGGTTATAAAATATTTAGAAATGACAGTGACACTGGTTACGGTGGTGTTGCCATTATTTGTAAAAACTCTCTTTTAACATCAGAAATTGTTACAGCAAGTAATGATAGAATCCAAACATTAGCCATTAGTGTAAAAGTAAATCGTAATAGTTCAATAACAGTTTTGGGTGCGTATTGTCCTCCACGTCCTGGTCGTTTTCCAGTAAATAATTTAAAAAATATTATTAGTTCTTTACCTTCTCCAGTTCTAGTAATGGGCGACTTCAATGCCCATCATACAGCATTTGGGTCTTCTACAAACAAGCCAAGAGGTATTCAGATTTATGATATGCTTGATGAAATTAATTTGTATATATTAAACGATGGTCAGCCTACCACACTAAGCCGTCCCAATCATTCGGCATCAGCAATCGACATTGCATTCGTATCTCCTTCATTAGCAGCTTCAGCAGAGTGGTCAGTTTATACAGAGGATACCTTAGGTAGCTATCATTTTCCTACTTTAGTTAACTTAAATTATGATTGTGAAATATACCAAGATTCCTGTAGTTTTGAAAAGTTTATTTACAAAAAAGCTGACTGGTTAGGCTATACAATCAAATCTAGAACGATTTTTAATCATCTTCTTGATTATCCAGACCCGCTCTTTGCTTATGCAGAATTTTGTGACTTATTAAATGCTTTGAGAAAAGATTTTATACCGATACACACTTATGATAGTAATAATAGACGCAAAGTTTATAAGCCTATGCCATGGTGGAATGAAACTTGTTCCAACGCAGTTAAGGAAACTAAATTAGCTCTTCATATGTATAGACGTCATCCAACAATAGAAAATTACATTATTTATAAAAAACTTGAAGCATCTAAAAGATTGATTATTAAAGAACAAAAGATAATCAGTTGGAAAAAATTGTGTTCTAGCTTTGATCGGTGTACACCAATCAGCAAAATATGGAAGTTTATTAAAGTTCTTAATAGAAAAGCTTCAAAGCCGGATAGCAAAGATGAAGAATTTTTGCAAGATTTTTTTGATAAAATAGCTCCTAATCATGATTCTGTAAATACTGACCACCTTAATAATTTATTTGTTTCTAATGATCTTAATATTCATTTGAATTCACTTTTTTCTGAAACAGAGTTTAATTTTTCTTTGAATTCTAAAAAAGACACTTCTCCAGGACTTGACGATATTCCGTATATTTTGATCAAACGCTTAGACTCTTCAGCTAAATTAATTTTGCTTAATATTTTTAACAATTTGTGGTCCGCTGGCTTAATACCAAAGTCGTGGAAAACCATTGCTGTAGTTCCCATTCTCAAACCGGATAAGGATCCTAAATATGCTGATTCTTACAGACCTATTTCTTTATCTTCTTGTGTGGGGAAAATTTTTGAAAATATGTTAAAGACTAGATTAGAACTTTTTGTTGAATCCAGATCAATTATTCCTCACGATCAATTTGGGTTTCGTAAAGGCCGTTCTACGTTAGATAGTCTTGTAAAGTTCACAGGTGATATACAAGAATCTTTTTGTGATCACAGCTATTTATTAAGTACCTTCTTAGATGTGAGTGGAGCGTTTGATAACGTCAATCTTTTAACCCTAGTTGAGATTCTACATAGCTTCAATATCCCAGGTAAAGTGTGCAAATGGATTTTTGATTTTTTTTATTCGCGTACCGTTTATTTAAAGTTCAACAATGTCCTTCATGGTCCAAAATTAGTTTATAAAGGGGTTCCTCAGGGGGCCACCTTATCACCCTTGATTTACTTGCTGTACACATCTCAAATACATAGGTTTATTTCAGTTCCTAGATTATCGGTTTTGCAATATGCAGATGATATTGTGTTGTACACTACTAATAGAAATTTATCACTTGCCGAATTTACTATTAATGAAGCTTTACGTCAATTATATTTGTATTATAATGTTAAGTTGAAACTAGATGTAAATCCCACTAAAAGCTCGGGCATGATTTTCACTAAGAAAAATGATTCTCAGTCTCGTGATCATGTAAATATTGTATATAATTCTGTAAATATTCAATTAGTGGAAGAAAAGAGATTTTTAGGTATTATTTTTGACTCTCAATTAATTTTTCATTCTCATGTGCTTAAAATTGTAGATAAAATGCAAAAAACTGTAAATATCATGAGACACTTAGCAAGTGTTACGTGGGGAATGGACCCAAAAATTTTAAATATGGTCTTTAAGGCTATAGTTAGATCTCATTATGACTATGGACTTATTGTTTATGGGAGATATCTAAGTAATTTTTTGTATCGTAAGCTAGAAGTCATTCAAAACAAGGGATTAAGAATTATAACTGGAGCTTTTTGTTCAACTCCAATAAATTCCTTAGAAATAGAGTCCGGGATTCCACCAATCTTAGTTAGACTTAGATATTTAACAGAAAAGTTTTATGTTAAGATTTTAAGTAATAAAATGTACTTTAATTTGTATTACAACAATTGTCTTTTGCAATGTGAGCATTTAAATGAACTAAAAGAAATTTGTAAATGCATAGACCATAGGGTAAATTGGGATCTAAGTACATTAGAAATTCAGACTAAGATACCAATGGTTTGCTTGAAGAAAGTTAATAACAACTATGAGTTTGTCCAATTTGTAAATAGCGAAAAGGTTCGGCATCGGAAGATATACACAGACGGTTCTAAAACTGAGGAAAACACTAAAGCAGCGTATTATGATTCAAGAGTTAAGTTTGGGAGATGTTTTACACTTGATAAGAACGCATCAATTTTCACAGCGGAAGCCTATGCAATATATACTGCATTGCAATATATTGGAGGAATAAGAGATGAGAATACTTTCTTGATTGTTACCGACTCCTTGAGTGTCCTCACTTGTCTTCAAAACACTCATATTCATTACAAGACCAACATCTACATAACGAAAATAAGAGAAATATTATTGAATAATGATTGCAAGCAAATAGAGTTTATGTGGGTCCCCTCGCATTCTGGGATTACTGGCAATGAAATAGTGGACAGATTGATGAAGATAGAAAGTCCATATAGTGGCGATTCACGGTATCCAGCGCCCCCTGTACCCATCTCAGACTATGACTCCATCTTGAAAACCCGTATGTTCGATAATTGGCATGAAGAGTGGAATATCACTAAATTAACCAAAGGAAAATGGTATGGACAAATACAACAGAAACTTCCAAGAAAACCATGGTACTGCAAGTCGCAAAGTTCTACCTCAAGAAGTTTCATCACTACAATGAATCGCTTACGACTTGGACACGCAAAATTTCCAACCCACCTTAAACGGATTAAAATGGTCACTACAGATAAATGTGAATTTTGCCAGGCAGATGCGGCAGACTTAGACCATCTTATTCTTCAGTGCCCAGCCTTTAATTTGGAAAGGCTTCTGCTAGTGGATGGCTTACTGAAGATCTATCAAGAAGATGAAAATATTCCCCGCCTCTTGCCATCCATACTAGCGAATGAAAAGACGTACCCACATATTTACCAGTACATTGTAAATACACATATAAATTTATGAAGACATTTCAACTAAGATACAGAAGAACAGAAATCCATTGAAAACACTCAGAAAGTACTCATGAATGAAAATACAAAGAAAGAAATAACTCACTAAAGAATTGGCCGTAAGGACACTATCCGAAGCCGTTAAATCTGTTCAAAAAAAAAAAAAAAATGCCTGGCTGTCTGTCAGTCAGTCACCGCACCAGCCAGTCAAAGAATTTTTGTTTCGTTTGTTGGTGCGTGATTGAAACTTGGCATGCGGTGTATTTATTTAAGTTTTAATTAATTAAATAGTCTCCGATTAGAAGAAATTATTAGTGGCCATGAAACCTCAGTAAGTGTAAATAATTATTGATCATAAAAATGGTAGAATCGTGACATATTTTGTGACGTGTTTATATCTGTAATAATCATGATCGTTTAACTCGTGTAGTTTGTTTCGCAAATTACGTGTAACAGTGATAAAACGATGTCGGGACACAGTATCCACGATGAGGCAGATGCCGACCGAGCCCAGATGATGAAGAAGATCTTCAGTGCAGTGTTTTATGCACTTGCCTCTTTCATGATAACTGTGGTGAATAAAACAGTGCTAACAACTTACGAGTTTCCCTCATACCAAGCATTGGGTCTGGGACAGATGGTGGCTACGATATCAGTGTTGTGGTGTGGCCGATACATGTCTGTAGTGCATTTTCCTCCTCTGGATAGTGGTATAGCGCGGCGTATTTGGCCTCTGCCACTCATCTACTTGGGCAACATGGCTACAGGCTTAGGTGGAACCAAAGAACTCAGCCTGCCAATGTTCACAGCTCTTCGCAGATTCAGTATTTTGATGACTATGCTTGGTGAAAGATTTGTACTTGGAGTGCGAGCATCCTGGCCAGTGCAAGCCAGTGTGTTGGCCATGGTTGGCGGCGCCCTACTAGCAGCTGCCGACGATGTGACTTTCTCAATTTCGGGCTACACTTTTGTATTACTTAATGATGCATTTACTGCTGCTAACGGTGTTTACATGAAGAAAAAGCTAGACTCCAAAGATCTAGGTAAATATGGACTGATGTACTACAATGCCCTATTCATGATTGTTCCTGCATCCTTAGTGGCTTGGTGGACTGGGGACCTGGAACGTGCTGCTGCCTATGAGAACTGGGATGATGTGTTATTCCTAACACAATTTCTGTTGTCTTGTGTCATGGGTTTTGTTCTATCCTACAGTGTGATGTTGTGCACCCAGCACAATAGTGCCCTGACCACAACAATCATTGGATGTCTGAAAAATATCCTAGTTACTTATTTGGGAATGGTCATAGGTGGAGATTATGTATTCTCATTATTGAATTTTATTGGCCTCAACATAAGTGTATTTGCAAGTCTCCTATACACTTTTGTCACATTTAAGCGCAAACCATCACCAGCATACCAGCCTGTTAATATAGTGAAAATAGATACTGTATAGCAGTGCCTCAGACGTAACCCTCAGTGGTCTACCTACTATGTGTAGTGTCGAACTTTGCTACCAAAGAAGACTGTAATTGTAATTTATGGTGTTGTGAACACTCCATGATAGTTATCATGTAGAATACAGAACTGTCATAATAATTATACTTAATTATTACAATAATGTGTACATAAGAGAACTGAATAATGTGTATTATTCAATACAAATGTATTTAGTTTGCAATGTATGATCCTAAAATGATTAATTTATTAGTGATGCAACGATTATGAATAATTATAGTTTATGTAAAAAAGGTATAAGGTACTTGGTAGTCATGTCATTCATGGCAATGAATGCAGAGATATATATTTTTAATTAACTGTTTCAATGTGACCTCCACGATTTGCGGTTAATTTTAATTGCAACTCATATAATATGACATTTACCAATAGGCACCTAAGTATATTGACTATGCAGTGATTTTTATTGTTGTCTTGTATAGATTTAAGTTACTTAGTAGGTAGTAAAATAGCGTTATTATAGGCATACTTGTTCTCAAGTTACACTTGTTGCATCACTGATACTAATCATAAAATATCTAAGTTTTCTAATAGAATGTACCATTGTAAGTTATCAAGGTAACTTTCTTGAGGATGACTGTAGTAAGTTACTAAATATTTTTTGGCTATGTAGTCTTAAATGTAGTTTTAATTTGTCTTCCGAAAATTCTTTACTCTTTATTTCAATAGCATATTTAAATAATTTATTTAAAAGTTATACTATAGATAGATAGAATATAGAAATATGTTCGAAATTACTTAATTTTACAATGCCAATTACCAAATGATGGCTAAACATTCACTGAAATTCATTAACTTTAAAACCTTAGATTAATAAAACCTAGATAGATAGTCAGTGCACGAAAGGTGAGGCAGATTTTAGTAAGCCAGAATGGCTTACTCGTAAACGTCACATGAACTGTCAAAGTGAAAAATTGGTAAACACGTCCGACGACTTTTAATTAATTAAGACGGTTTGTGCTGTGAAAGGGTGTCTAAATACATCAGAAAAACTGAAGAAAGTGACCAGTGTTACATTTCATAAATAAGTACAACGATTCGACGCGTATTTTGCTTAAATTTGGCTTTCAAAAATTAAATATGGGAATGATACCAGTAACAAGAAAATTTATTTCCCAATTGTTCGCCGTACAAATACACTTCCTTTTTTATGAAATCGAGACTTTTCAGTCGATTTATCTTATTGTAATTAGGTAGGTACTTTGAATTCAATAAATAAGTAAGTACATGATGCGTTTTGTTTTTGTTAGGTAGTATAAAATAATTAAAAACGTATTAAAAATTTCCCTACTTTCGGGAAAATCGCCTTCACTGTCTACACTCCCCAACAAAATTGACACTAATGACATAAGATTTTTGCCTCACTCTTGACGAAGCGTTTGTATGAAGACTATCCATCTAGGTTTTATTAATCTAAGTTTAAAACCATGATCAGTTTTACTGTTAATTAAGTTATAAAATGAGCAATTTGTAACTAACAAGAAATTTAATTTCAGTTTTTGTGATAGTTGTCCAAGTCATAAAAGAACAAACAAGGTACCTACAAACTTTAAAAATTGTTATCATGAAACAAGCTGACTTCGTAACATTTTAACAACTATTATTAATATTATCTACCCAGGACTTATCAGCTGAGGTAGTAATTAAGTTACTTAAAGCTGCTTTAATGTAGGCAACTACTGAAATGATACAACTAAGCAACTGTAAAATTGATATTCCCAGTAGCTGGTTGACTGATAAATAAGCAAAAGAAAAGTTCAATTATTTTACAAGCAGTGTGATGTGTGACGTATTGGCTCGATGTCTAGAAGGTTTTTATCACGACGCATTAAATCAGCCTATTACCATTTAGTCATGCTCAAGTAAATAGCGCAAAAACTATAAAAGTTAACTTCTTCGTTACCCGTTCATACTACCTAAGTGCTATCAAATACCTACCAATAAGTAAAATGTCCCAAAAAATCTTCAAACCAACGCGATCAGCCCGCGAGCGCGATGGCGATGGCGATCAGACATAAAGGTCGAACCATTAGACGGTGCAAAACGGACTAAAGCCTTAGATTAATAAAGACTAAAGATTAAAAGCAAACAAACCTACTAATTACCCATTTAACAAAAATCCGGAATCAAAATTTGACAGCACCATTCTTCAAATCGCGAAGCCTTGAGGTCAAGGTGCCGTACCTATACAAAATCTTCGTGCAAAGTAAACGTGACGCAATATCAAATAAAGTAAATTCCAATTATACTTCGTGATTTCGTCATTTTTACACACTGGGTTGAAATCGCGCATGGGATACCTGGAGAGACAAAAAAGACGAGAAGAAAGAGTGTTCCAAGAGTAATTTACTAATTAATCGCAAATTCACTATGCAATATATTATTTGCCTGTGGCTTGGCATACAATATGATAGGCCAGGCCCCCAAATAATTTCTCCGAAGCCTCTGAAGGTCTGAAAAGAGCAACACAAGACCAATCTTTGTGGTGCCTTTATCCAGTAGTGGATGTCTTTTGGTTGAAAAGAGAATACATACCATATTGAGACTTAAATATTTAAACATAGCTTAGAAAAGCTTGTTATTATTATCTACATCAACATTAGTTATTTTGTGAGATTCCAATCAAGCGACTGTTAAAGCCCGAATTCTAGATAAGGCCATCGATGAGACTTATTAAGATAAAAGCAAGATAGTAATCTGTCTAGAAATATGCATGTTCATTTTTGTTGTTACAATTATTAATGCAATCAGTTATCTGAATCAATTACTGAATGCAATGATACTTCAATAACTCATGTCTTGCTTAGTAACTGCAAGTTATTTTAAGATTGTGTTGGTAACCCTACTTACACGCGTACATTTAAGCTCATCTAATTGCATTACAAGGTAATAATTAAGTAATAACTAACTTAATCGCGCGGCTTTGCCCTCGTGAGGTTCGGTCTGCCACAAAAACTATCGTGCTCGCGTCCTTCCAAAACCCGGAATATAAGCAAACTTTACTATATTTTTGAATCTCAAACTGTCTCTAATACAAAATTTATCTAAATCGGTTTAACGTGAAAAGTTAACAGATTTGATTATACCTACTACCTGCTTGCCTATGATTAATGAACGTTTACATCACCGTCCGTGTCAAGTTTTTCTACCATGTTATCGAATAACTAATACCTTTGGTAACAAACATACTTATAGTGCACAGCAACTTTATGTTCCTTTTATTAATCGGTGTACCTATATCCTTATCGCATAATTAAACTACCTACCTATATGAGTACTTCTAAGAACAATTAGGTATGTGTGCGCTATAGTATCTTACTGTAATAATACACTGTACTAACGTTTCATAGTACATAGTGTACGGGAAAAAACATCTGCAACTTTGTTTTCGGTACATCAAATACTTATAGTGGATGTGCACTTTTTATTTCTCATATAAAAATAGTACTTTAACGGGTTTATATGAATCAATATTATCTTAATGTAATTTCCAAAATATTTTTTTCTGTGCAAATTTTTCACAATTATGTTCGTGTATGACGATGACTATATTGCATTAACTCTACAAGCCCTAACTTAACTTGACCTTAATTAGTCATATAAGTATGTGGTTTCCGGACCACCTTTCGGGAACCGCTGCTCTAGTCTACACTTGTAGTGTTGAGTTGGTGTAGTTAGAGAGCGTGTAGAGTTACGCCCGTTTTCGATAACGATACTTGCTTAAGTGAAGCACCAAATCGAACGCACAGCGTTGAATAGAGCTCTGTGATTAGTTCATGTGTCACCCTGTGCGTGTGTGCGTCCACGCGCACTGTGAGACCTCATAGTAATGTTTGTTAATATGGGCGTTAGAATCTTGGCTCTACTTCTTTTTGATAGTGCAAACTGCAACCTGTAATGGTCTTGTCTTTGCAACATTTTACATAAAAATATTTTGCTGAGATTCTATAGCTTTGATTAAAAACTGTGCTTGCTAAAGATACTAAAATAGTTCGATTGCTGTCTGACCCGATTTTGACTCAGATTATTAGTTTTGGTACCAGGTTCTTTGACCGTGTTACCTTCAGACAAATAAAGAAAAGATCAATCTAAACGGACCCTAATGTTCACTTCGCTTAAAGGATGAACGCGTTTATATACCTCACTTCAGACTTCAAATTTATTAAATTACTCTGAGCGGTCGCGTTCTGTCCCGCAGGTTCATCATTTGTATTTTATCTTGAAAATAAAATGAAGCGTTTGTGGCGAATTTGTGTAGGCTACCATACCTACCTAGACTTGACAAAATATTTTTACTCTTACTTCTTATTGTCAGAAAAATTCACCTCACTTCTTTAAATGCGGAACACAGGTGTTAAAATTTATGTGTGTATACCTTCATGGTACAGACACAAAGCAAACAAAGAGGTCGACACATGCTACACAAACATATTTTAACGTTTAATATTAAATATTATACAATTTTAAATTTTAAGAAGTAGCTATGTACAAACAAAATACAAATTACGACGCGAAGCGATTTCAGAACTAAAACGGTCACGATTAGAACTTTGTCTAAGGGGCATTATCCAGATGGTAACCCTGATGTGGCGGATGCATCGATGCAATTTTGCTGCCTGACAAATAGAATTATGATGCACACGAATCATATTAAATAGACACCGTCTCTATTCAATAAATATAATCAGCCTATTATCGTCCCCTCGCACCGTTTACTCTTGGGTAGGACGTGTAGATGATTGAATGTAAACTGGCGTGTTGATCTTTTTAACAATTGGACTCGCATGGTCATTCGTTTGTCTTTTATAGTCCCCGTAGACTGCAGTTTTGTTCGCCCGATATCATGGACGTAGAAAAAAGATTTTTCTTAAATCTTACGTTGTCATAAAATATTCTATGTGATCAAAATTAACTGGTAAAGAATTTAATTATAGAATTTAAGGTTAATTGCGAAAAACTAAACGAGCAATAGTTTTACAAGCAGCAGTAATTGCGTAACATCTGCATTGTATTTACTAATATGTGAACATAATAGATTGTGATTATTATTTAGGACTACACACTTACATTGATGTAACTGAATGTGTGGTATGAGTATAGTTTATTTATAAATGGAGACCGCGTCTCTTCAAACTTGCAGATGCAAGGTTATTTGTAGACTTATCTAAAATATCAAGAATACTTATTTTTCGACTCGTGTAATGGATGTTTTAAGTACCTTATCATAATTAACTAGTTTATCAAAACACATTCTTCATTTGTAGTACTTACGATTTTAAGAAGATAATCTATTGTGCTGTTTCATGTATTGTTTAAATAAAATACGTCATTACAAATCATTAATCATGATTTTATTAGATAAATTTATTAAATTATAAATAATAGTCTATAAATAAGTTGATTTTGGTTGGAAAGTGCGTGGGTAATGAATAGATAATATCTGTCTTGTAAATGGTATCATATCAATTAAATTGCTTATAATACATTGATAAGATAATACCACTGCAGTAAAGTAGTGTAGTGATCAAACTTTATTGCGCTGCTTCTTCTCAGCACTGGCCCATTTATTGTCCCGAAGCAGTGGTAGGGTTAATATTGGGA